TGAAACACTTGAAAAAACTGCAGATTCCCTGGAACAGCCGTGCGGAGAAACCGCAGAGAAACTTCAAGATCAGCCACAGAACGGTACCAGGGAAACAAGGCCCGAGGCTTCTCCGCTGCAGCCTGGGGGCCACACCAGGGGCTCGCGTCCCTCCAGCCATGCATCTGCCACATTGCACAGCTCAGGTGACCTTGACTGTGACCGCCAGAAAAATGCTCCGCAGATCTCTGCGCTGTCATTGTCCCTGTTTCTTCGCCAAAGGAGTGAAGGAATCAGTGCCACAGACCCACTCGATACTTGAGTAGCAGAGCGTGTTTCACAATTTGAAAATCAAGGTTTTTTTTAACACTTTATTTTTTTTTAATTTTTTTTTAACGTTTATTTATTTTTGAGACAGAGAGAGACAGCATGAACAGGGGAGGGGCAGAGAGAGAGGGAGACACAGAATCAGAAGCAGGCTCCAGGCTCTGAGCCGTCAGCCCAGAGCCTGACGCGGGGCTCAAACTCACGGATCGCGAGATCGTGACCTGGCTGAAGTCGGACGCTCAACCGACTGCGCCACCCAGGCGCCCCTTAACACTTTATTTTTAATTTTTTTTCAACGTTTATTTATTTTTGGGACAGAGAGAGACAGAGCATGAACGGGGAGGGGCAGAGAGAGAGGGAGACACAGAATCGGAAGCAGGCTCCAGGCTCTGAGCCGTCAGCCCAGAGCCCAACGTGGGGCTCGAACTCATGGACCGCGAGATCGTGACCTGAGCTGAAGTCGGACGCTTAACCGACTGAGCCACCCAGGCGCCCCAACACTTTATTTTTAAGTAATCTCTACATGAAAGGTGCAGCTCGAACTCACAACCCCGAGGTCAAGAGTCACACGCTGCCCGGGCCGAGCCGGCCTGAGAATTAAGCTTTTAGACTACATATCAGAAATTATGGGATCTGTAGTGCTCCGATGCAAGTTCATACCCTTGCTTATATTGACAAGAAAAGGTGAAAATAATTTAATGAGGCATCTGACTCAAGAAGAACCAAAACGTACCGCCAAGTTAAGTGACAAAAGGGTGGGGTAAGAATTAAAGAAGAAATTGATCAACAACAAATTGTAGGATCAGTAAATACACCCGAAAGCTCATTCTTTAAAAAGAGGAAGATAATAAAAAAAAAAAAAACACCTGTTAGCTTAGCTAACCTAACCAAGAAGGAAAAAAAGAGACACAAAATAAAGAAATGATAATAAGGACATAACCCTAGACACAAGGAAATGAAAAACAACCATAAAGACTATTTTGTTCAGGTCTGTGCGTTCTAAAGTTTGGGTGACATAGATGCTTTTCCAGAAAAATACAGGTGGACTTGGGAGAAGCCAACTATCACAGGGAAACAGTCGTCAAGTTTGTGACTCTCCCTCACTCACACTTGGGCGAGAGCACGCGCACCTACGCTCACACATATACACAGCCATACACATACGCCCCCCCACATACACACCCACATATACACCCCCCCACACCCACACACACACATATACACCCACATGCGCACA